CGGCCCCGCGGCCGTGCTGGGGGCGACGGGCTTCGCGGGGGATGGCGGTGTCCGCCCTTAGGCGCGATTTGGGAAAGCTGGAGCGGGCTGGGGACCCCTCAGAGCAGCGCTTGCGCTTGCGCTTGCACTGACAGAACCTAAAACGCCCAGAAACCTCCCCTCTCCGTGCCCGCGGAGAAGTCCGCTTGGGCTGAAAGGTGGCTTCGCGGGTGTGGATGAGCTGCTCCGTGTGACCGTCGCCATAAACTTGGTGCTCCGTCCCGGGTTTCAAAGCCTGCTGTCCCTTTAATGTCTGGTTTGACAGCTTTGGGTGAGGAAGCACTTCCAACAGCTGTCTTCTTGGCAGTGCACCAAGCGCCGGCTTAAAGGGTCCCCGGCTGGAGCAGCTTCACCTTCTGCCTCCGAACAAACCCGGCGATTGTTTGGTTTTCCGGCCGCTTTGCTACCAAGCGGGGGCTGTGTTGTGGCACTGTGCGTGCCTTTTGTACCGCAGCTCTGCAATTCCATCCAAAATGCATACGTTCTGTCTAAAAACTCCTTTCTGCCGCTGCGATTATGTGGGTGGTAGTCCCGCTTTGATTGAAAATTACAAGTATTTTAAAAAAAAACCTCTTTAAACTTATTGAACTTTTAAGAAATCACTGCTCTTCAGTCATTTCATGCATATTACATACTTTTCCAGATCTATAACTGACTACAGATGGCACACCCTGTTTTTGCCATCAGTTATTTCATTGCTGCTTTTACTGTGCATATTTTGGCAATAAATACATCTGGGTTGATACTTGTTCGGAGTGTTTTCTGTGAGAATAACGTCTTTTTTTTTCCATTTTCTCTTACCAAAAGATGATGAAGATGAGGAGGAAGAGGATGAAGAAGAAGAAATAGATGTTGTGACAGTGGAGAAAAGACGCTCCTCCTCCAACAAGGCTGTTACCACCCTTACTATTACAGTGCGTCCTAAAAATACCACTTTTCCATCAGTCAGGACACAGCAGAATGAACTGATTTTAAAGCGTTGCGCACCAATTCACCAGCAGCATAATTACGCCGCTCCTTCTCCGTACATGGAGAGTGAGGATGCTCCACCGCAGAAAAAGTTAAAAACCGAGGTTCCCCGTCCAGTGAAACCCACAATCCAACCAAAGTCTAAGAGTTCAAGTCCTCGAAACTCTGATTCAGAGGACAGTGAGCGTCGACGCAACCATAATATCCTGGAGCGCCAACGGCGTAATGATCTACGGTCAAGTTTCCTGACATTAAGGGACCATGTTCCAGAACTGGTTAAAAATGAGAAAGCTGCGAAAGTTGTGATCTTGAAAAAAGCCACTGAATATGTTCATTCCCTTCAGGCAGAGGAGCAGAAGTTATTGCTAGAAAAGGAAAAATTGCAAGCCAGACAACAACAATTGCTAAAGAAAATAGAATACAAGCGGACTTGCTAAACTTTTGTTTTGTTTTGTTTTGTTTTTGGCTGACCAGGACAGTCATTGCCACTTTGCACATTTTTGATTCTTTAAAAAAAATTGTGTTTTTTGACGTTAAGAATGTTGGTTTTACTTTCAATCCAGTCCCTGAAGTAATCGACAAACTATATTATCCGGGTACGGAGCAAATGGATGTTCTTGCAAGGAGTTTTTTGCAAGACTACCAAACAACAATGGACTGCCTTTGTTTTTCTCCTTAAGAACTGTAGATGGTGGGGATTTTTTTTTTTTTTTAAATTGTTGTGAGCATTTGGAGCTGCTGATGACATCTAGTTGCGTTTTAAAACGTTCATTCCTAAGTTTTATGGTGCTTATGTTCTAACAGATGTTACTTTAGGGGTTGGCATTTTGTGCCCCGGTGGGAGTTTTCTGTAAATACCATCTACACACTTGCCTTTTGTACATGTCTTGGGTTATGAGAGGTGGCTTTTGCTACCAGTATTAGACTGGAAGTTCATACCTAAGTACTGTAATACCTCAATGTTTGAGGAGCATGTTTTTGTATACAAATATATTGTTAATCTCTGTTATGTACTGTACTAATTCTTACATTGCCTGTATACTTTAGTATGATGCTGATACATAACTAAATTTGATACTTATATTTTCGTATGAAAATGAGTTGTGAAAGTTTTGAGTAGATATTACTTTATCACTTTTTGAACTAAGAAACTTTTGTAAAGAAATTTACTATATATGCCTTTTCCTAGCCTGTTTCTTCCAGTTAATGTATTTGTTAATGTTTGGTGCATAGAACTGGGTAACTGCAAAGTTCTGTGTTTCATTTCTTCCAACAATGTACATTTAGTGCTGCGTCTTATAGCACTTTGAAATACCTCATGTTTATGAAAATAAATAGCAATTACATGATGTGCCATTTACTATTTTTCTTTTAAATGAAGTTCTTTTAAATAAAATCTTTAACTTTGCAATGTTCATGAAATACAAAAATATGGTCCCATATCCTGGGCACTTAAACTCTCAAACTACAGGTGATGCTTTACGAAAAGTCAGCTAGGCAGGACATTGCCATTTCTGGTTAAAAGCTAATTGTAGTAAGAACAATTTTCCTATTCTTTCATACTTCAGATGTCTGTTGTGTTGTCAGGATCATCCCAGGGGACTGAACGTACCACAGAAAGACTCCTGTGTCTTGCGAAGACTTCTGGAATATCCACTGCACGCAGAGAATTGTGAGGGATCAGAAACACGGCTAGCATGCTTCTGCTAAGGGACTGGCCTCAGTGTGGTAGATGGGTGGAAAAGTAAATGATGGAGGTACACTTGCTACAGCACAGAAAATGAAATATTTGTAGTAAACAAAGATCTTACTTGACTGCTGTTCTTGTTTGCGTTACAAAAGGCTTATCCTTAAAGCGGTCCATCATTGCATAGGAGAATTGATGTTCTTGTTTGTAGCTGAAGATCCTGTTTTGTTACTACTTGTCCTAAGTTGGTAAAATGAAAAATCCCAGGGAAGATACAGAGCTATGAAGCGTGCGTCAAATGAAACCTGGCAGGTGGTTGTCTCAATAGGTGTGATGGCATTTGGTGTGACAGGAGCAAGACATGTAAGTTGGTGAAATATGTTTGGTCATTTTGGGAAGCTCCTTTGAGACCAAGGAGTTGGTTTTTTTTCTAGTCTGTACAGGTATTTCTGAGATTGTCTTTCCCCACACTGAATGTGAAAAATAAGGTATGGCCAGTAAGTAGTTTTAAGGATCAGCTTGCAAGGAGCTTAGTCTGGGAGATCTGCTCCTACTTTAGCCACAAAGGAAGTAGCTTGCTTGGTGATGGAGGTACAGAACATCTCACGTTTGCCACGAGGTAACAGAATAAGAGCAGTATGGGGGGAAAATCCCCACAGTAATGGATGTGCCATATGTTCATGCCCTACAGTAGCTTGTTGATGTACCTGTGCATTTAGTATCTTACAAATTAATACTTGAGGACCACAATCATTCCATAAACAGAACCCCTGTTTTCATTCCCTTGATGTGGACTTATCATGCTTCTTCCACTTTCCTCTTGTTGGTGTACCTGTGCATTTAATATCTTACAAATTCATAACCTCTCCTGTCCGTGCCTGCGGAGAAGTCCGCTTGGGCTGAAACGTGGCTTCGCGGGTGTAGATGAGCTGGTCCGTATGACCGTCACCATAAACTTGGTGCTCCGTCCCCGGTTTCAAAGCCTGCTGTCCCTTTAGTGTCTGGTTTGACAGCTTTGGGTGAGGAAGCACTTCCAACAGCTGTCGTCTTGGCAGTGCACCAAGTGCCGGCTTAAAGGGTCCCTGGCTGGAGCAGCTTCGCCTTCTGCCTCCGAACAAACCCAGCGACTGTTTTGTTTTCCAGCCGCTTTTAAACAAGGTATAAGTCACTTGAGTCTTCTTGAAGGAGTAGGAAAGCTTTTCAAACATCCATTGTATTGTCTTTCTAACCTGTGCCTGCTTGACTTCCAACAAGGGCTTCTTAACATGAGTTTACAGTTAGACTTTGTATAACATTTAAAAAAAAAAAAAGTTACGGCTGTATACTGACCAAATAATTTCCTAGCAGATGCAAATCATATTCTGAACAAATAAATCACAGAATGATCTGCCACTGTCTCCACAGTCTAGAAATGTACTGTCTAAGGATTGAAGCGGGGGCTGTGTTGTGGCACTGTGCGTGCCTTTTGTACCACAGCTCTGCGATTCCCTTCAAAATACATGCATTCTGTCAAAAAACGCCTTTCTGCCGCTGTGATTATGTGGGTGGTAGTCCCGCTTTGATTGATAATTAGAAGTGTTTTAAAAAAAACTCTTTAAACTTACTGAACTTTCAGAAATCACTGTTCTTCAGTCATTTCATGTATATTAGGTACTTTTCCAGATCTGTATCTGACTACAGATGGCACACCCTGTTTTTGCCATCAGTTATTTCATTGCTGCTTTTACTGTACATATTTTGTCAATAAGTACGTCTGGGTAGATACTTGTTTGGAGTGTTTTCTGTGAGAATAACATCTATTTTATTTTCCATTTTCTGTTACCAAAAGATGATGAAGATGAGGAGGAAGAGGATGAAGAAGAACAAATAGATGTTGTGACAGTGGAGGAAAGACGCTCCTCCTCCAACAAGGCTGCTACCACCCTTACTATTACAGTGCGTCCTAAAAATACCACTTTTCTATCAATCAGGACACAGCAGAATGAACTGATTTTAAAGCATTGCGCACTAATTCACCAGCAGCATAATTATGCCACTCCTTCTCCATACATGGAGAGTGAGGATGCTCCACCGCAGAAAAAGTTAAAACCCAAGGTTCCCTGTCCACTGAAACCCACGATCCAACCAAAGCCTAAGAGTTCAAGTCCTCGAAACTCCGATTCAGAGGACACAAGGTGTCGACGCAGCCAGAATTTCCTGGAGCACCTATGGCGTAAGAGTCTACAGTCAAGTTTCCTGACACTAAGGGGCCATGTTCCAGAACTGGTTAAAAATGAGAAAGCTCCACGAATTGTGATCTTGAAAAAAGCCATTGAATATGTTCATTCCCTTCAGGCAGAGGAGCAGAAGTTATTGCTAGAAAAGGAAAAACTGCAAGCCAGACAACAACAATTGCTAAAGAAAATAGAATACAAGTGGACTTGCTAAACTTTTGTTTTGGTTTGGTTTTGGCTGACCAGGACAGTCATTGCCACTTTGCACATTTTTGATTCTTTAAAAAAAATTGTGGTTTTTGACGTTTAGAATGTTGGTTTTACTTTGAATCCAGCCCCTGAAGTAATCGACAAACTATATTATCCAGGTACGGAGCAAATGGATGTTCTTGCAAGGAGTTTTTTGCAAGCCTACCAAACAACAATGGACTGCCTTTGTTTTTCTCCTTAAGAACTGTAGATGGTGGGGATTTTTTTTTTTTAAATTGTTGTGAGCATTTGGAGCTGCTGATGACATCTAGTTGCGTTACAAAACGTTCATTCCTAAGTTTGATGGTGCTTATGTTCTAACAGATGTTACTTTAGGGGTTGGCATTTTGTACCCCGGTGGGAGTTTTCTGTAAATCCCGTCTACACCCTTGCCTTTTGTACATGTCTTGGGTTATGAGAGGTGGCTTTTGCTACCAGTATTAGACTGGAAGTTCATACCTAAGTACTGTAATACCTCAATGTTTGAGGAGCATGGTTTTGTATACAAATGCATTGTTAATCTCTGTTATACAGGCAATGTAAGAATTAGTGCAGTACATACTTGAGTATGATGCTGATACATAACTAAATTTTTCATACGAAAATATAAGTATCAATGAGTTGTGAAAGATTTGAGTAGATATTACTTTATCACTTTTTTGAACTAAGAAACTTTTGTAAAGAACTTTACTATATATGCCTTTTCCTAGCCTGTTTCTTCCAGTTAATGTATTTGTTAATGTTTGGTGCATAGAACTGGGTAACTGCAAAGTTCTGTGTTTCATTTCTTCCAACAATGTACATTTAGTGCTGCGTCTTATAGCACTTTGAAATACCTCATGTTTATGAAAATAAATAGCAATTACATGATGTGCCATTTACTATTTTTCTTTTAAATGAAGTTCTTTTAAATAAAATCTTTAACTTTGCAATGTTCATGAAATACAAAAAAAAAGGTCCCATATCCTGGGCACTTAAACTCTCAAACTACAGGTGCTGCTTTACGAAAAGTCAGCTAGGCAGGACATCGCCATTTCTGGTTAAAAACTAATTGTAGTAAGAACAATTTTCCAATTCTTTCATACTTCAGATGTCTGTTGTGATGTCAGGATCATCCCAGGGGACTGAACGTACCACAGAAAGACTCCTGTGTCTTGCAAAGACTTCTGGAATATCCACTGCACGCAGAGAAGTGTGAGGGATCAGAAACACGGCTAGCATGCTTCTGCTAAGGGACTGGCCTCAGTGTGGTAGACGGATGGAAAAGTAAATGGTGGAGGTACACTTGCTACAGCACAGAAAATGAAATATCTGTAGTAAACAAAGATCTTACTTGACTGCTATTCTTGTTTGCATTACAAAAGGCTTATCCTTAAAGCGGTCCATCATTGCATAGGAGAATTAATGTTCTTCTTTGTAGCTGAAGATCCTGTTTTGTTACTACTTGTCCTAAGTTGGTAAAATGAAAAATCCCAGGGAAGATACAGAGCTATAAAGCGTGCGTCAAATGAAACCTGGCAGGTGGTTGTCTCAATAGGTGTGATGGCATTTGGTGTGACAGGAGCAAGACATGTAAGTCGGTGAAATATGTTTGGTCATTTTGGGAAACTCCTTGAGACCAAGGAGTTGGGTTTTTTTCTAGTCTGTACAGGTATTTCTGAGATTGTCTTTCCCCACACTGAATCTGAAAAATAAGGTATGGCCAGTAAGTAGTTTTAAGGCTCAGCTTGCGAGGAGCTAGTCTGGGAGATCTGCTCCTACTTTAGCCACAAAGGAAGTAGCTTGCTTGGTGATGGAGGTACAGAACATCTCACGTTTGCCACGAGGTAACAGAATAAGAGCAGTACGGGGGGAAAATCCCCGCAGTAATGGATGTGCCATATGTTCATGTCCTACAGTAGCTTGTTGGTGTACCTGTGCATTTAATATCTTACAAATTCATACCTGAGGACCACAATCATTCCATAAACAGAACCCCCCATTTTCATTCCCTTGATGTGGACTTACCATGCTGCTTCCACTCTCCCAGTACAGTGAAAAAACAGTAAAAGACAAAGCCTAAGCAGAGACAACTAGTGTGGACAATCACAAGGTGCATTTAATTTTACTAGCTAAAACAAACAAACACTTTTCAAACCCCATTTTATTAGCAATTTTCGTTGAACTGCTGTTGTACTGTTTTCAAACAAGGTATAAGTCACTTGAGTCTTCTTGAAGGAGTAGGAGTGCTTTTCAAACATCCATTGTATTGTCTTTCTAACATGTGCCTGCTTGACTTCCAACAAGGGCTTCTTAACATGAGTTTACAGTTAGACTTAGTATAACATTTAAAAAAAAAAAAAGTTACAGCTGTATACTGACCAAATACTTTCCTAGCAGATGCAAATCATATTCTGAAAAAAATAAATCACAGAATGATCTGCCACTGTCTCCACAGTCTAGGAATGTACTATCTAAGGATTGAACATGCAAAATGGAACAGCGATTCCCTTGCCTTGCCTCCCCTTGCCTTGCCTTCCCTTCCCTTGCCTCGCCTCACCTCCCCTTGCCTTGCCTTAGCTTCCCTTGCCTTGCCTTCCTTTGCCTTGCTTTCCCTTGCCTTGCATTCCCTTCCCTTGCCTTCCCTTGCCTCTGCCTGTGATGCTTGTGGTGTCTTTGGCAGGTGGTTGTGATGTCAGTGGTGGCTGCGGAGGTTTCAGAGCAGGAGCTGTCCTCTGACTTGCACAGGAGCATGTGGTGGCTCTGGGAGCTGCATCCGTGGTAGGCGAGGCGCATGGCCCTGGCTTGCGCAGTGCCTTGTGATGTCCCAGGTTCCCTCAGGAGGTTATAGGGTAGAAGGAGGTACGTGGCTTGTGCATGTGCTTGTGATGTCAAGTGTGCCATTCTAGGGAAGAGGAGTGGAGCAAGGAAAAATGGAATCCCTTTGGCTGCCCTATCCAGAACAGCTGGCAAAGCTGCTGTCTTGATTTTAGGAATATGAGCGTAAACCTGCTTGTAGTCCGCAGCTGAAATGTTACTGTTTTGAGTAGCTTTGCATCAGGGATCAATTGAGCTATAGGTTTTTACAGCACTCTATGAATCTCTTTGAATTAATACAAATACAAATGTGTTTGGGAAAAAAAAATCAGATACCACGCACCCCTTTCCTCCCCTTTCTCACCAGCTGAGCTGTCTCTGTAGCAGAGCTGACATCCATTGTCTGCCACGTTTGGCATTCTGCCCTGTCCTCCTGCCCAGAACATCAAAATAAAGAACTTAGTCTTGTCTTTGAGATCAAGATATCAGCAGACAATTGATTTTCCTTCCTCTTCTAATCAGTGAGCTCTGACACTTAATAAAACATATATTTCCGCTCTCGGGGTAAGCAAAACACCCAGATAGTGGCTGTCAGAGAGAGCTGGGAGCAGGGATTCATCTTTATGGAAAATCAATAGCTGGACCAGAGAAATTGGCAGAACCCAAATTAAAAGTCACTGGCAATTTCTGTCTTCATATTTCATGTCTACTGCATTTCTGAAACAGTAATTTGCTGCAAAGAAAACCACCACAGGGACAGGGAGGAGGATGGACTTTGTGCCTGGTTCTTCCTCTGCTGCTTCCACAGATGGGACCCCCCCAGGTGAAGGTGGGTGCCAGGTTTGGAGCGGCTCTTTGGGCAGTGCCGTGTTCAAGGTGATCCCCATCCCAGGGACGGAGGGCATTCACATGGACCGCTCTGCCAGAGGCTGAGCACCCACGACCATTGCTGGCATAAAGGTCTCCCAGCGTCACCAGCTGCTGCAGGGTTCCTGACTGCGTCCCCACATCCCCGGGTGGCACCCATAACCGCTCGTGTTTGGGTATTCCCTGGCACCCATAACTGCTCGTGTTTGGGTACTCCCTGGCACCGTAACTCCTCGTGTTTGCCTGGCCCCACGGGAGTGGGACTTTCAGGGCTGCCCATCAGCTGGCTGCGCTGAGCTGCTTCAAATCCCGTTATCACAAGGGTGTGACTGATTTACTCACCGCTTGCTCCCAGTTTCACTGGTGCCTCATATACCTGAAATAAATCATAGACGCCAGATGTATCCCAAATCTAATTCATCACCACACATCAGGGAACTCACTTGGCTAGTCGGGCTGTGATTCAGAAGGCTCACTTTGAGAGGGAAGAGGGACATAAGTTTTCTAAGGAACCTGGGGGGGAAAACTGCTCTTCTGGAATGCAAAAGCCCCAGCTGGATGGGGCCAGGGAGGAGTTAATTGTGTCCCCCAAGGCAGCAATTATCTCCAGCTCATTACACCACTAATGGCACCCTGGGAGGGACCCCCACAGCCTGGACCTGCTGCAGTTTGGGGTAGCTGTTTGCCTACAGCAAGCCAAGAAGTTTGCAGGTTTGGTGGCTGTTTTGGGGGCAAAAATCTTCCCTGGTCTGCACCCAGCCCTAAGATCTGCTACGTGCAGGGCTGAGCGCTTGGGATTGCCTTGGGTAGGGGAGCCTTTACCTGTTAGCTTTCCTTTCCTCTCCTGCGGAGTGTTTGATGGTTGGCCAGCCCGGACAGGTCTTGGCACCCAAGGGGAGTCCTAGGGCGGGCAGACCCTCCATTCTCCAGCGGAGACATAAATCTAAGTACCCAGAGACCCAGAGACATGTGCGGGATGTGAGAGGTGGGAGCTCATCTGAGCTGCAGGCTACAGCCGGGGTTGGTTTACCGATGATCTAGCTCGGGAAGATGGAACAGGTTCATGAAAGCTCGTTTGTCTTGCTGGAAGCTCATCAAAAGCCCAGCTGGATAGCCTTGTGCTGTGCTGCACTTTTTGCAAGACAGGCATCCTTGAGCATAAGTTCAAGGCAGGCTGTTGTGTCCCAGATCCCACAAGACGGCCCTTGCTGGCAGGCTCATCCGAGCAGCGAGCATGCATCTCCCTTTT